CACAAAGGTAATGATAATGTTTTTGCATGTATTAGTCTTTCCAATTTTGTTGAATATTTTATAGTTTGTTGGAAGAATTACTAATTTAGAATTTATWTAGTATAATTTTCAAAGTAGTTTTATATCACTAAAAAAAATTTTTTTTTTTAAGTTACGATGTCCAGTAATAAGTAAAAAAATATTTTAAAAAAATAGATTGCTTTAAATTTTATTTGAGAAAAAATATATTTGAAAGGTGATTACCTAAAAAAGTTATTTCAAAGTGTGATATTTTTAGGTATCCCGGATTTTCGGGGAGAGTTAGTTACACATAAAAAATAAAAGAAAAGTGATTGATGAATTAAAATATATACCAACCTCACTCTTATTATTTGGTTGAATTTGGATGTGTAGTTGCTAAATTTATAGATCTTTTTTATTTGATTTTTTGGCAATGTTCAAATATTTTTATGATTGGACATGAGAATTAATATTTTGTTAGTTGTCCATTTGCGTTGAGTTTGAAGGTTGAATCTCCTCCCACCACTCTGAAAAAATGTTGGACAATATTTTAAGATTAAGTTGTATAGGGTAAGGGTAAAAATGTTATTTTACAAATATGATGATAACATGTTTGGTGAGAGAGAATTTTAAATTGACTATTAATCCCCTCCTAGAAATTGAAATTAAATCAGTGATCTTTTCTCCTTGAAATTGAAATTGGAGATATTACTTGAGATATTTCATTTTGAAATTGAAATTGAACTTAAAAGATCTTTCCATAACTAAAATTAAACCCAGAGATCTTTTCATAACTGAAATTGAAACTCGAGAGACGAGAAATTTTTCCATCTTAAAATTGAATTGAGCCTAGAAATCTTTCCATTTTGAAATTGAAATGAACTCATAGAATTTTCATCTTACTTAACTGAGATAATAATAAAAAAAACCCCTTCTAAATACATAAATATTAAATATAGCAAGATATATAATGACTTTTTGGAACTGCACTTGACGTTGGTCTTAATAAGTTGGTCACTGCTGCATGATCCAGAGTTTTTGGAAAAATATTACGTGAGACGATTTTTTCTATCTGTAAGTCGTATTTTGTCCTCCTAACACTTATCACTTAAACATAATAGAGTATAATAAAAGTCTAAAAATAATAACAAACCAATAAATTGGAATGCTCAAAACATGAACATTTTAGATTCCTGMAAAACAAACTTGACCAAAGTTGTTGTCTATGAAATTGTTTGATGTAGGAGAATCTTTTGTACAAAATTTTATTAAGTGAAATTAAAATTTATCTTAAAAAAAAAGTGAAATTAAAATTTAAAACTATTATTATTTATTTAAAAAACCCCATAAGTATTTCCTTCGCTTTCAATTTAGATAACAAAACAGAACATATTCCATTAGAAACCAAAAGGTAATTACGCAATGAACAAGCAAAAAATAATTGTTTGTTTGACTCTTCATGCCTATGGCTTAAACCTCGATTCATAATTTACATTCATTTGGTGGAAATTCAAAACCAAATCCAAAGGAATTTTTGAAAAATGTTGGCGATTTCTACCGATGCAAACAAAGTGGTAACAAGAATTTCTTAACCCAATTCTTAAAAGTTACAAAGAAACTATCAGAATTGGATGCCAACATAATTTAAATCTTAAAATAGGAACATAGGATACCTTAATATCATCAAATCCAATGCTTACCATTTACCAAATAGACAATAAAGATTCCCCACAAAATATRCACACCACTTAAAACAATAAAAGTTGAAAATAATAATTAGGAACCCACTCCATTGAATAAAAACAGCAAATTTTCGTCAACGTAGCTAATAGTGTATTGATAGATAAATTTGTTGAGAGACTTGAAGCTTATCTACCAATATATATTTATTCAAAATTTTAGATTGGACAATTTATATATTTTTTTAGAAAAAAATAACAAAATCTCACGATCATCAAATAGGAAAAAGTTTCCTGGTTATAATTGAAGAGAGGACCAAAGTGAGAGAGAGGAGAAAAATCATTTGACTACATGTAAACAATGGAATGTATTCAAAAGAAAAAGAAAATGATAAGATAGAGGTGGAATTGTATGTTGGGAGTCCACCCCCTATCATTTAGATTCAAATCACACTAGCTTTGCCACCAATTTACTCAATCATATATACACTCTCAAATTATCGTTGGTTTGRAACGAARGACAAATAAATTCAATCATTTTAAATAGAGGCGAAATTTAACAGCTCACGTAGACGTAGACATAGCTCATTTTCTTTTGAAATCTTTGAACTCATGAACTTAACACATTTTATTCTCTCTGKTTACTTAATTGTGATGAATTGATGGTGATTTGAAATGAAGGTAGAGAAATTGGATTTTATGATCGCTGGAGAAGTTTGAACTGAATGATGGGAGTGTGGAAGGAAAAATAAAACGGGGGACCAAAATTCAGAGGAAAGTTGACGTTGAGACGAAGGCAAGGCAAAGCTGTAATAAACAAACCCATCCAAATGGCCCCCACATTTTCTAATACTTATCAATTCTCTCACCCACCCATTTTGACTTTTGSCCACCATTTCTTCCACGCCAACCAAACCATGTCTCTCCAGCTCCCCAGTTTTAATGGAATRATATTTAAGAAAAATAAAAATAAAATCTTCTTTTTTAAATAATGGGTTATACTTATAATCTTACATTTTCAAATAATGTTTTGAGAAAACTGTCGGGAACTTTTGTACGATAAAAGGATATAAAGTTCTTTAGTTAATTAACGACAGCTCATCATCTTTTTAGATTTAACTCTACTTCTGTAACAAAAGGAAATCAAAATAATAATTCGGTTTGTATTCTGGTTAAATAGATGTGCATTAATTTATAATTGGAATAAAGGGGAAACCATGGGTCAAAATCTTAAAGCGCTCTCAGAATTTAATTTAAATTTGTGTGGAGAGTAAAAAGAGAGGGTCCCATGTAATAGTGGTTTTTAGTCAACGAAGGACGACATCACATCCAGSTCCACTTGTTTCAACTTCTTTGACCCATCCACTTTTATTTCTTCTCTCTCCACTTTATTTTTTTACCTACAATAATATAACCTGCCATCCCACATCTTACAAATATTATCTACTCACATACAACTTAACTTAATTAATTACATGTCACGTTTACTAATGTTAATCATCCATAATTTTTTATCTAATTCCATTTCCTACACAATAAATTTGTGAATATATAGAAATGAATTAACAAAAAAAAAAGAAAGGGTTAAGTAGGAATTAGTCGGCGTGGAAAAGGAAAAAGGAAAACAAAAAATCAAAATGAAGAAAAAGGAAAAAGGCGTCCAACTAATACCAAATCCACAATCCTTTCCTTGCTTTTTCTTTAAATAAAATATTAATAATAGACAAATTCACATCGTTCAAGAAAAGAGGGAGAGAAAATCCATTAAATATATTTGATAAATAACGTGGAAAAAAACTGACCCTCCGATCTCCTTCGAGATGACGATAGCCTAGGAGGACTCTAGGATGAGATTAGCGGTTTCGGGCGCAGACAGAGTGTGATTGTGTTCTCCTTCGTAGGTCACCACTAGCATCGCCGGATCGTCTACGGCCCGTTCTACGTGTTTCCGGGCTGGGCACCCTCTCACGCTGCTACACTTGTAATAACCTCTGTTTCGAACCGAGTTATTGTTGTGTCACCCACTCAGCGAGTCGAAGGAGTTTGAAAAAGTCAACAAAATGCAAAAATGTACCTCGGATGTGGAGACCCTTTAATCGGCTTTTGACCATATTTTCTCCACGAATAATCGTCCGGTGGGATGTCCGCCATTTTCAAGCTTATCGCCGGAACTCTAACCACCCTCTTCAACCTCAGTTTTCTGCCCATCCAAATTTCCGATTTTATTTTAATTAATCAAAATTCTATAAATCAAATGAATGAGAGAAAGAGAAGGGGACCTTTTCTTCGAACAGTGGCATCGGCCGGCGGAAGAGCCACCGCACTTGCCGGATCCCAAGTTATCGGAGCTGCACTTCCTCTTGAGCGAAGAAGTAGAGAGGGGGGGTTTTCCGGCGGAGGAGACCTGGGAGAGGTTAGTGATCTGGAAGGCGGAGGAGGAGGAGGAGGGCTGAAGCTTGGTGTCGGCTTCGGCGTCGGCGGTCAACGAGGAGATGAAGGAGCCACGGGGCGATGAATAGGAGAAATTAAGAGTGGTAGTGAAAGGGTCGTCCTTGTTATCGACATCGGCGGCGGCGCGGGGGTGGTGGGGCGGGATCTGCTGGATCGGGGTCACGTAGCGGACTTGAGGGAGAGGCGCTCTTCTGAAGCGTGCGTGACCGAGGCGATTGCGGGCGAGAAGAGAGATGACTTTCTTGAACTTGGAGACGGCGGCATCGGCGGCGGCGCGGCAGTCGTTGTCGATGTGGGTGGGGATATCGAGGGTAGAATTGGAGTTGGAATTGGGTAAGGAGGAGTTGTGTTGGTGGGCGTTGGAGAGCAGGCGGATGAGCTTCTCGACGCTTTCGAGGCCGGAGGCGGCTTCTTGGACTGCGTGGGCTTCCATTTTCCGGGCAGTGGAAGTGGAAGTGGAGACACAGTAGTGGGGCTGGGGTTGAGGCTGCGGCTGCGTGTTCATGAGCTGGACGGCCATATCTACAAACCCATCAAAGACTTGGGATCGTGAGAGAGAAAAAAAAAAGAACGGGAGAAAGAGAAAAAGGAGGGAAGCTGGTGTGTGTGTAAAAGTAAACAAATTAGAATTAGAGCAGACTCAGAGTAACGTTGGATTGATAAAGGAAGAGAGAGACACAGAAATGGGGGGCCGGGGGTGTCTCTGGTCAAAATGGTTTATCAAATTCGGCCATTAAACTCTAATACACCTCTGTTTCCACTCACCTCTCACGCTACGGCCTACGGGACTTTGTTCTCGAATCCTAACATTTTTCATTTTTCCTAAAAGATAAATTTATACATCCCTTAATTTCACTTATTTCAAATCCTAGCCTAATAATTTCATCCATTCAAACTCTAAACTTGATTTAGTCACTTGTTATTTTATATCTTCTATTAAGAAAGATGGAAAAGAAAACCTTAACCGAATATATGATGATTATAATTCTCTACATTGCTAGAGCAAGAGCACAAACTCTCCTACTATTAAGACAACAATAACAACTCATTTATCATATCCTCTTAAATGATAGCAATTCGCATTCGTACAAAATAGAATGCGAACCATACCAAACACCATAAGATACATCAACAAGAATGTAGAGAAGATGAGGTTAAGAAGAGTAACAAGACTGCTGATCAATAACATTAGGACGAAGACAACAAATTCAATCCAATTATATACTAAAAGACCTTATTACTCTTCAAATGAGGGTTCCGTAGTGCCGAATTAGGATTAAAATCGAGTTATGTCCTACAATTGTCAGCATAAAGATTTTGGAAGCTGCTGTCACAACTTCGCCTAGTTCCATTTTTGAACTACTCAAGAGTTATACCAACTTAACTGTATTTCACTGGTAAGATTAATTTTTTAAATTGTTTCTATACTTTTCTGAATGTTCCTCTAAATATTTTCAATATTTCATTTAAACAAACAAAGCAGTCAACATGCATATGGTCGTTTTCCCTTTTATATATATATATATATATAATGTAAAATATAAATGAAGCCACGTAAATAAGATGGTCATTTTCTTCAAATTAGAGGGACAGTTTTGTCATTTTGTTTACTTAGCTCACTCCCCATTGAACACGTGACATGCATCGTCGGCTGTTGACTAATAGACAAGATTTGAATCGGATTGACTATGAATAGAGTCGAGACGTAGAAAATATTTATCTTAATATTTAGATGATTAAGTAAATTACTTATCCTCACCCCATTTCGTCCTTATGTTTCTCAAAAAATTAAAAAATTAATTTTATCGATAAACTGTAATCCCAAATTATTTAATTAATTCATTCCCCATTACGATGGGATAGGAACAAAAAATTCCAACAAAGTCGAAGACCATAATTGATATCACATCACTCTTGTTGTCAATACTCTAAATTATTTTTTCAACTTTCATACAAATCTAAGACTAAGAGTATGAATTTAATAGCTAATGTTTTTGTTTTTATTTATGGAAAATAAAACTTCAGTAACACCATTTTCTTTTTCGTCAAAGAAAATTTTGATCAAAATACAAGCATGTTTATTTAAAATAGCAACTAATACTATTGTTCGTTTTATAGATTTGGTAATGATTTGATAAATCGTGTCAATGCCGAAAGTTAAATATCGGATCTAAGCTCAAAAGTTGTCAAAATCACGATTTAACTAGACATTAAAAGAAACCATATTTACAATTTACGAAATAAAATATTTTAAAAATATTAACTAAGATTTAAAGATGTGTAATGGTGAAAAAGAAAAGTGACAAAATTATTGATGAACGTGCAGAAAAATAAATTGAAAGAAAAAAGAAAAAGAAAAAAATAGACTCGGAATCCGATGCTGGATGTCGAGAAGCTTGACCTGCAGTTTAAGTGGGGGCCACAAAAGTTAATCTGGTCTAGAATCTAGATGGGAAAGAACAGAAGGACAAAAGATAGTGATTAGGTCAAAGATGTGATTGCAGCCGTTTGATCTTTGACCACTTTTAAATGTGGCCACGAGTGATCACTCGATCCCACCCCCCTCTCAAATACAGCACCCTCCAGTTGACTTTTGTGTTTCCCTACTCCATAATAATCCATTTTCTACTATTTTTAATTTTGTTATTCCGGACAAATCAATATATATTTTGCCTTTTTTTTAATTCAATAATTTCGGGTGAATATTTAAACCTTCACCCCTAAAAAATAACGAGGTTCTCAGAGCACAGAACAGCTCATTAAAATATTATAATTTTATTATTTACAAAAAAACAAAACTGCATTAAAAATAAATAAGACCATTAAAAATTACAATTTAACTCAATTAAAGGTTTGAGAGAAAACGCAGTCTCCAACAGAAGAATAACGAGAGGAGTGGACATTCCCTCTCCATTTTTTACTCTAACTCTTTGTATAAACTAAGTCTTCACATAGATTGAGAGAAAAAGTTGCAAAAATGTCTAAACTCTATTTTCTAATATTATAATTTTATTTTAAGATAATGTGTTGGACTTTAGATTGATATTTACCTTCAAATACAATATATAACTAAAATTGAGATCGTTAGACTTTATTTCTGTAACTACTACGAGCATGTCTTTCTTGAACATAATCACCCAAACGATACATCTCTTATATTTAGTTGATAGACATATTAAAATATATTTTATCAAATTTTCATTCGTAAAATTAATTAGTTTTTAAACTTGGCAATCGGACATGGTCTTGAAAAGATACCCAATAAATTTCAATTAAAAAAAAAAACAAATAGAAACAAACCCAACAAATTTAAATGACTGATGAGATGTTTTGTTATTTGATTTTAGAGTAAGTATAATATACAATGAGATCTATGTAAATGGGGTTTTAAATAATTTGCTCACTTCTGTTACTAAAAGAAATTGTATAAAATCTGTTCAATCAATAAAATAAATATAGTAAATGTAGAACATTAAAGTAAATCGAGACAAATTTAGAATAGGGAGCTACAAAAGTTGTGTGGACCATCTGGTAGTGGATGTAACATCAAGTGGAAAAATGTTGACAAAACATTAAATTCACTCTCAAGAATTGTTCATTTCATTTACAATAGTTTCTTCTTCTTCTTCTTCTTCTTCTTCTTTCTTTTTCCTCTCTCTCTCTCATATAAAATATAGCTAAGGACCTAAAGATGGCGGGCTGGGGGCAAAATTAGGAAATTATGAGGACAAAAATTAACTAAAAATTTAACATGTCTATTAGTTATCTTCAAGATATAAAATAAATGGGAAATTTTGGTAAGCTATTATAATAAAATGCGGAAACAAAGGAGAGATTCTTTATGAACTTGAATATCATAAATATAAAAATAAATTGAAATATTATATGTTATTTTAGTAATATTAGGATTTATCTCATAATATTATGCTAGTGGGTTGGGTACTTATCTAGTTATGTTATTTGACTAAAACAATATATAAATATCTAGTTTTTTTTTATTATTAGTTAAAAAAATTTATGATTAAGAATCTTCACTACTAAAAAAAGTTTGGTTTATAAATAAATGATTTACTTAACACACCAGGGAAAATTGAATAGTATTAATATTTATTGGAAAAATATAAATTTTAATCATGAACAATTTATTGCAGATCCCACAAATTTTTTCTTAAAAAAAATTCCTTTTAAGAATAATTAATTAAAATAAAATAAGTATTGTTATGTCAAGTAAAGGGCGCTCCGCTCCGTGTGATTTGAATCGAAGACAATATTTCTTGAGCTCCAAACTATCCTTGGGACCATAATTTATAACCCTATTAGTAGTAATAGCAATTTGTAATTTATTTTGATATTTTGAAATCCTACATGCATTGATAACAATATTGTTAGAAAAGTATAACCCATGAATTTTAATACAATCTTTTTCTAATATTGTAAGTAAAAAATGCCCCACATCCGTTAATTTTGTTAATAAAAAATTGTCATTATATTTAATCTTAATATAATTCCAATAGTTTTTTTCTAGTACAAATATTATTCTAATAGTTAAATATAATAGTTATGAATGGACTATTTTGTTTTATTCATAAAAAAAGTTTCTATATTTGAAAATATTTAATTGTTTCATCTTTTCAAATATTAGTTTCTTAATATTGATAATTCAATTTTAAATTTAGATGTGCGGTAAGAATTTTCTTTAACGTTTATATGAACATTTAGTAAAACTTTACCATTTATATTTTTTATTACAATTAATATTTAAGTTGAGATACTAACGCTAATTTAGATATTTGAATTATAAGGAAATCGTTATTTGGAAAAATTCTCTATTTTCTGCAAATTGTGTAAATGGTTTTTATTGATGAGAATAACTTTTTTTTTTTAATAAAAATCTAGCCCTCTATTAACATGTAATATATATCAATTGTAGATGTCTACAGCTCATTTAAGGTTGAAATTCAAATCTTCCCACCCCATATTTATTGTACTAAAAAAAACGTCATTTTTTTTTTTGAGTATAACATGTCAAGGAATGAATTCGAACTCGTAACCTTTTGTTTGAAGGTATATGCCAATTACCGCTAAGCTATGCTCGCTTTGACAGGGTAGTTTTGATTCTAAACTTTATTCGTATTTTTAATTTGATTGCTATAATTTAAAATCTTCTATTTCGCTTCTATTCTTTACGTGATTATTGAATACACGTTAACATAGCTTTTCTCAATTTTGATGCAAGTGATGTATAATAAAATATTCAAACCATTAGCTTTTACACTAGAATAATAAACACAATAACATCAACTTTTAATTAAAAAAAACCTATTTTATAGGCCCCAAAAAGTGGGTTGGGTCGACCTAATAGTCCCACATCAATTTCATAGCCCGAAGTTCTGAGGCTTGGCCCGCTTTCGGGCCTATCTATCCGCCCCAACAATTCTTTTTAGAGGTATACTCTCTCTCTTATATTCTCTTTCTGTTTTGGTGATAATTCAAATTCATAACTTTTAGTTTTGATTTAAGTATTTTAATCAATTGAACTATATTCTATGTTTAATTCACAAAATTGTGAATTATTTTATTTTCATCGGCAATAAATTCTCATAATACAAGCCTCTTATATATACATAACTCTCGCTTGATAATTACTTAACAGAAAATAATTGAATTAAACTTTGGCAACTCATTCAATTGTTTCGAAACTGGATAAAAACAAACTTATGTCATATGTAATATGCCCTTTTACTGCATTAGCTAGTTAAGTAATTTTTGCTGTAAAAATAAGGTTTACTGCTGACAAAAGAACGGAGCATTAGACCGATTTGGGTGAAAATAGATTCTACAGTATAATTTCAATCATTTTTATGAATTGGACATGAATTTATTTGGTAATTCAAAATATAATATAAGAAGCTATAATATCCTTGAATTGTTTTTTTAGTTCAACATCATTTGGGAGTGAAAATTCGAAATTCTAATTGATGATGAAAAAAATGTCACTCCATTTGATTAGAAAATAATGATGGTTTGAACTAAATTTAATTCTCCTTTTGTTATTTTGTTTTTATTATTATAGGGAGAGGGGTAAAAGGTAATGAATGAATGCATAATAAATCGCATGGATTTTGGTTGCCTCACTTCAAAGGAAACAAAAAGGCAATTGAATTGATGTAATGGTTTTACCAAAACCCGTTTGTTTTATTTTGGCCACTTTTTTAATATTGGTGGGTTTGTGGTTTCGGATCTCTCGCATTGATCACAATTGCCAAAGTCTCATACCTTTTAAGAAATTGCTTCAAATATAAGAAAAATGATTTGTGAATTGATTGCTTCTAATTTTTCCTAAATTACCATTTTGGYTGGCTTCTAGATATCACAATTCTTGTGCTTTTGTACTACATTCTCCATCGCTGTTCATTTCAATACTACTATTTATTCATTCGTACTCTCAAATTTCAATATAAAAAATCAACTCTAGTATCATTTTTCTAAAATTTTGTTAATTTTTTACTAGACATATATTTTGCAATTCATAAATATACATGAGAATACTTATTTTTATACGGTTGTTCAGAAGGTAAAAATTATTACAATTATTAAAATTTAAAAGTAAATATTACAATACTTTTTTAAATTTAAGGTAACTATTAAAATATGTATTTAAGTTTAAAGTAGGAGTTAATGAAATAAAAGGCTTAAAATAAAAATTATACTCTTTTTTTTTTTGTGTTTGTTACGTTCTTTGTATTATCAACCGGTAATAAAGTGTTCATTGTGTTTACTAATTAAACAAATCTCGAAAGCTTCTTCAACTAATTTAATTTATTATTATTATTATTATCTTTAATGAATCAAGCTAAGAAACACCTAACATTAGTCACGAGAGTGAAATGAGACAACAAGTAACGAGAGTAAAGCAAGTTTAAAACATTTAAAGAAACAACCGCGATTAATTTTTACGATTTTCATGGTTTGAGTGAGTAATCATTTCGGGTGAAATTTGCCGAAGCTCGTAAGTAGCAAGAACTAGAACTACAAATTCAATTCTTACTCCAAAGTCCAAATCTTGGTTGGAAGGTAAGAAGGGAATTTTTAATTCCGAGAGCGAGAGCGAGAGCGGTGGGTATCAACTCAAGAAAAGAGGTCTCAACCTGTCAACCACTGGTTGGAAAGCTATGCGTTGAATTCTACTGTTCTAATCCGGCTTCAACAACCAACTACGRCCATGGTTGCTTTTGCTTGAGCAAGCTCTTTGTCTATGTTTAATTTCTTCACATTTTCTAACATATTTCCTATTGCTGTCCCTTTCAGGCATTTCGTCGAGCATCTGGGGCCCCTTCATATTGGCCTAATATCGCCTTCTTCACCGCGGGTGTAGACTCAGACAGAGACATTATTGAAAGCTTTTCATTCTTCAACTCAAAGTAATTCACCCCTAATCAGTAATCAACCCCCTTAAGCCTTAAGCTGCCTTCCTCCAACCCACCACCATTCCAATTCTCCAACCTCTCTTCCTCTCCCATGTCTCTTGCTATCTTTACAAGCCAAATCGAATCTGAACTTTAAAGCAACTTCAGAAATAGCCCCTTTTCGCGATTTGTCCAGTTCTTCGGACCCAACCCCATCTTCCTTCTGCTGGAGCCGAGGGGGGTTAGTGGGGCAGGCGCAGAATGAAGCTTTCTGCATTGCAGCAGACCTATGCTGCCCGCCGGGCCAATAGCTTCAGGGGATCGCCGTTGGATTCATCGGCGGATAGTCCAATCAAGTCGCCGGCGGGTATTTTCTGGCTGATTCTCCATGGACTTTGTTGCCTCATCAGTCTTGTGCTTGGATTTCGCTTCTCTCGTCTCGTCTTTTTCCTTTTCGTTTCTACTTCCACGACCACTAACATCTATTTGACTCCTTTTCGATCCGCCGCTGACCTGAACATTCACTCTACTTCGCTTCCAAATCCGACTGTAAATCTTGAAATTCCTGTGAATAAGACGACGCCTACGACCATTGCCAGTTCGAGTAGCCGCGTGGTCGTGGGGAGGCACGGGATCCGAATCCGGCCGTGGCCGCATCCAGACCCTACTGAAGTCATGAAGGCTCACCAAATAATTGAGACGGTTCAGAGGGAGCAGAGGCGTCAATTCGGAGTCAAGAATCCTCGAAAGATAATTGCTGTAACGCCAACTTATGTGCGCACTTTCCAGGCGCTCCACATGACTGGTGTTATGCACTCGTTGATGTTGGCCCCTTACGAGATTGTCTGGATCGCGGTGGAGGCCGGTGGAGTCACCAACGATACTGCTTCAATTCTTGCCAAGTCTGGGCTGCAGACTATCCACGTTGGTTTCAATCAGCGGATGCCAACTTCTTGGGAGGGTAGGCATCGAATGGAGGCTCAGATGAGGCTTCATGCCTTGAGGTTATTTTTCCATACCTGCCTTTTTCGATTGCTTGCTTGTTTTTAGAAGAATTAAGAAGTTAGTTAGACGCTCCTGTTTCTTTCKAAACAAAGCTGAGTTCTCGAGTACGATTTTACTGTATATGATTTAGTTAGTAAGCTATTAATGGTGGGGCAAATAAAGTAAAAAGATCAGAGATTGTGCATACTTTTTTATCTCTAATTCCCCATTTTTCTCTTAATATTACTGAGCATTTTAGGTTAGTTTTAGAATACGAATTTGATTATGTAGGTATGAAATGATGCAGAATTGTGAGCAAAAGGATGCTGGATGGAACTGTGATATTTGTGGATGACAGTAATATGCATAGTATGGAGTTTTTTGACGAGCTCCAGAATGTAAAGTGGTTTGGTGCTCTTTCTGTTGGAATCATTGTTCAGTCTGATAAACAAGATGAGTCCCCACAGGAGGTGGAGAGCCCACCAATCCCTGCTCAGGGTCCTGCTTGCAATTCTTCCAATAAGTTGGTTGGTTGGCACACCTTCAATGCACTTCCATATGCTGGAAAGAGTGCTAAATTCATTGGTGACAAGACATCAGTTCTTCCGAGGAAGCTTGAGTGGTCTGGGTTTGTGTTGAATTCCAAGTTGCTATGGAAAGATGCAGAAGATAAGCCAGAATGGGTCAATGAGTTTGATACATTGAATGTTGGTGATGATGATTTAGAGAGTCCACTGTTTCTTTTGAAGGATACATCAATGGTTGAGCCGCTCGGAAGTTGTGGCCGCCAAGTTTTACTCTGGTGGCTCAGAGTTGAAGCTCGTTTCGATAGCAAATTTCCTCACGGGTTAGTACCTTTTCTTCTCGTCTTTATTTGATGCTCTCCTCCCTATTACTTACATGGAATTCATCTACCTGTGTTAGATATATGCCTAAACAACAGACAACGTGAATTGAAATTTAAAACTTTTGAAACATCTAAAAATGGCTTGATCTCGTGTCACTCACTCGGGAGATGCAATTACCAAACAGGCATCTCTGCTAACCATGCATGTTGAGATTGTCAGTGCGTGATCCTTTACCTTAATGTGTTATATAGCCCTAAGGATGCCTTGATCACCTCTCCAAGTCATGTTTCGACATCTCAAGTGGTTTTGAGATCTTCACTGGTCATGATGCACTTCGTTTTTTTTTCTGCAACTTCTCTATAGATTTAATGTTTTATCTATGCTGTCTCTCTAGTTTTAGTTTCTGCATGATATCTTTTTTGCTATGGAAGTTACAATTGTCTGGTGCGTACGAATACCTGTTACGAATGGCTAATTTACTTGAACATTTGAAGATCCTTAGAAAGGCAACTATTTGAATGTCGGAGCCTATAGATTTTGGTGTTAGTTTTAGGGGGTTTGATCTGTGCTTTTAGTCTGATGTGATTATTAATGATATTATATGCTGCTGCATATGGTGGTCATACAAATTCTTCTGTGCAAAACTGTAAATTGATCACTCCATTTAACCTGTAAATTGTATCACATCATTGCAATTAATTTTTGTGTTGCATCAATGACA